TGAAGAAAACAGTGTGTTAGATGTATTTATCATAAACAGTGCTGCCTCATTTCTACTATATTTGATTCGCGTGTGTCACACGTCATCTCACTTTTCTAAAAGGTGATAATTCGAAATTACAGATGAGTATGTGAATAAATTAAACTAAAAATTTACCCGCAGTTATAAATAGAGATCAATCGTGAACTGTTACATTGGTACATATTGTGAATAACAGTTTTGTACACAACGTTTTCTCTGTATATAGTGTATCAGTTTAATAAACAAATGCATTTGCATTTTTGTGTTTTATTTTATTACATATGGCCTGACATCATAATTGGAAAAACCATAGCTTATCCTCTGATGCATTTAAACAGCTATAGAAATTTAATCCAGATAAGGGCAAACTTTTCAGTACCTTGAGAAATAGTATTTGGGATGAAATAGTTGTGTATTTACGACAAAGGAAATTACATTTTTTATGACATTCACATTGACTCTACATATTATGGTAATTTATAAGATATTTTTCTTTATCAAAAATAAAATTCGAATGAAGATTTATTGATGACACCTGTCCTTTGTTTATGTAGTCCTATATGTATGATTAAAATGTCAGTAACATGTTTTTCGTTTAGACTTCATGTTATCTCCATCCCTGTCAATATCTAATTATACTGTTTGAATTCTTGCTATTCTATATGTCACCCTCTAACTTATAACCCTCTAATTTCCTCTGTCATTATCTGCCTGTAAATATGACCCTAAATAGTTGAAATTTTCATTTTTTTAAAACTCATCTGGAAGTCTAATTCCCTCTTTCTCTTGTAACAACTCATATATGAATTTGAAGAATAAAAACTATTGACTTTTAATCCCCTCTCTAACCTGTTTCTAACTTTTTCTGGCTCAACCTTAATCATTCTCTCTCTCTCTCTCTCTCTCTCATTAATAAACAGAATACCAGTTGTGAATAAAATACAAGAAAAATATTATAATTAATATTAGATATGCGTTAATATATTGAAAAATTATGTTGTAGAACCGAAATCAAAATAAAATTTTTACTTTATAATAAATTATCTACATTTAATTTTTCGTTACATCATTTTCTATTAGAATAGAAGGCTTATTTTTTTCTATAAATCTCTTTCTCTTCTTAGAGAAGAACAAATATCTTATTACATAATAGCAGAGTAATAGTCCTACTAAAATACATAGAAAAACAAAACTATGCATAAACATCCATAAAATTCTGCTCCAATTGTTTTTCGGTTTTACAAATATAGAACAGATTCCACTCCTATAAAAATTATTTAAGAGATTTTAATTAAACTTTTTCCCTTATGTTTTAGTGAATTATATTTATACAATTACCTCAAACACATTCCTGTGTTGTTAAGACATAATGTTCCAGGAATCTTTGTATATATTTGCTTATTTAATCGGAAAAGATTGAGTTCTTCGGAAGATTGACATCTGTTATACATGCCCATACAGCAGACATGGCATTCTTTATCATACGGACAAATGCAATGTTGCATAGAGTTATCTTCGCAAACATTACTGGTGCAATGGCCAAAATGACAGGAAGTACCATACGATGGATCTCCACAGGAAGTGCCATCAGATAAAGGAATCTCAGGACAATAAGATGAAATTCCGTCGCATAATGCATATTCTTTCCGACACGGAGTGTTAACGAAGCATATTCGACGCTCCACTTTAGGAACGAGTGTGCAATCTTCCTTACAACATTTTCCTTCTCGAAAACTACAGCTCATTTCTTCTTTAAGATTACATTCGTAATTTGTACCCGGAGGATTACAGCAAGGATCGAGTAAACTGCAAGATTCTCGTGATCCACAGTCACATTCCTCTCCGATCTCGGTTATTGCGTTACCACATTTAGCATTTAATCTTCTTGTCAAACATTCTGTTTAAAATATGATATTGTGTCAAAAAGTATATAATTTTATGTTGAAATTTCTATCATTTAGAAAACAATTACCTCGTCGTTCTTCAACAGTATTTTTAATAAATTTCTTACTGCATGGTGAAAACAACCAATTATTTACATTGGTACCGTCCAAAGTTTCGGGATACATTATGAAATTTCCTAAATTTGCGTTTCCGGGACTGCATTCCTTATTTAATTTATCGTCGTTTGGACTTCCGAAACAGTGGCCAATATGATGAATTAAATTTAAAGTAATAGTATCTCTTGGAATCAGTTTGTCATGTTTATTGGTTGTAACGAATGCTACATTGTAGCCAATATTTCCTGTATTATTCCATCCTTCGCAAATTGAATCTAAATGATAAAAGATGTTTTGTAAATTTTCAATAAATTAGCTCAAAGGGAAAGGCTAATTTAATGTTTCAATTTACTCATAATTTACTTTATTATGGAAAGAAACAAAAAATCAACAGAAGGCAACGGGCGTTGGGCCAAAGTTAATGATGATGTTTAAAATACTTTTTATGTGTCCATGCAAATTTGATGTAACCTACTAAACTGTATACAGTTGTACGAGAAACAAATGGAAAATAAAAATACAAAAGACCCGTAATTTCCGAAAAACATTTACTGTCAGAATTTAAAGATACGCACTTGTAAAGACATTTAGTACGCTATTTCTTAACATAATCTCTGCCGGTGACGACAATCAATCATTTATATTGGTACAATTCAAAGTTTCGAGATATTTTATAAAATTTCCTGAATTTGCAGTTGCAGGACTACTATATTCTTGTCGTCTGCACTTCCGAAACAATGGCCAATGATAAATTAAAGTAAAAAATGCAGTGGTGAATCATATGTTTCATCGTTGCACAAATTTAAAGCTTCTTGTCTCATAAATTTGTGGAGTCATGCCCATACTTCCTGCTGTACCTCTTCATCAGTATGAAACCGGAATTCATCAAGATGTTTCTTTAGAGGAGCTAAGAAATGGTAATCGCTCAAAGTGAGTTCCGGGCTATAAGGCGGATGCTGGAGTCCATCACATCCAAAACCATTCAGTCATCCTGAAACGTGTTATATACCAGGTGACATTTTAAATTATTGAGATATCTTTTAGTAAACGACTCCTTTAATGAGAAGTCTTGGTTACTTCCAAATCGCTGTTTGTAGGTAATGAAATATGTCAACGCGAGTTTTGTATTGATGTAAAGGAGCAACATGGTGCGCAGATTAAAATTTTGGCCTAAGCGATAATATAGTACTAATAGCGGATATGCCTAGCGGTTTGTAACAGTCTGGAAGATTATCTAAATAATAATTTATCGACATTAAATCTAAGGAAATCTAACATTGCGGGTTTTAGTCGAGGTTGCAAGTTATCGGAATATCAGAAATAGTTTGTGGAAATGTACTTCCGGTATTGGATTTTTCTCTTCTACATTGTCAAAAATCGCTAATTTCAACGTTGTACTCTTGGTTACTTAATGGAAAACGAATGTGCAATAGTGAAAATTTCATTGCTTGCACTGAATACAATTATTTCATGAATTTCATTTTAACTATAATTTTACAAGGCAATACATTATTAAAATATGTTTAATGTAATATGCTGAGGAACACCCGTCTTCATTGGATTTGCATATTTGTATGGTTAATGGTATCAATTTTAAACATCTGTTAGATTCTAATAATATCTGCTCGCTTAAATTATTTTGATAATAATTGATATTGTTTAAATAATAAAATTATGAATATTAATTATTGTATTTAGTACAGAGAGTTCAATGTAAATATCATATCAACAAATGATTTTGATATTTCTTTTAATTGTATACGTATTTTTATACAAATCAGATGCAATGTAATTTCTTACCTACCGAACTATAAAAAAGAATTTTGTCGATTTAGTAAAGAGGGTATTCATTTAATGATTTTCATTTGTTGATTGATTATGTAGTTGTAGTCGATATGCGGCAGTGAATATTTGGTTGTGAAATTTTGACTAAAGAATTATTTGAAAGGCAAATAAACATTTTTATATCTGATTAGGTGAAGCTAGCATCTGACATATTTATTCGCTGATACTAGAAAATCACTAGTGAACGAGTGGATAAAACCACTGAACACTGGTAATTGGTAGTAGTTTTGAGCCTCGCTAACGGCTGGAGTTTTCCAAGTGGAGTTTTCTAGGTCTTCTTCATTGTAACACAAATAGGAACCAGTTTCCCGTAGAAAGTCCTTCAGAGAGGCATTCCCTCAGCGAATTGCGTTGCCGTATATAAACAATAATTCTGTCTCCTGTTCTAAGCTAGTGGATTATTTGTACTATATATTTATAGTTATGGTGTTCGAGTTTTCTATTTTGTTTTTGTGGATAGGTTCCAACTTATAATTACAAATGCAATTATTTATAACTTTAAATTGTAATTTTATTTTATAGTTTAACGTGTCATTTGTAATTTTTGTTGTCTACCTTGGTTTAAATGGTTTTTGAACTAACAAGTAAGTTCGCTCATCATAGGCGATAGATAAGCCATAATGAGAATATAAAATAAAATAAAATAATCAAATAAAGCAAGTTGAAAATGAAAAATATTTCTTTATTATAATTTTCTATGTAAAAATGGAAATTAAATAGAATTAAAATATTTAAAACTAGAAAATGTGTATTGTGATACGACAACGCAACACGAGGAAGCTCTGGCGAAGGACATGTTAGGCAAGTTAATAAATCTCGAAAATTTCACATGGCCAGCCCGTTGGTCAAGCGCGAACTTTTGACCAACTATCAGTGCTTAGTGGTATTACTTATTCGGCCACTGATAGGCCTCTGATACTGGGAGATCGGAAATCTGTTATAAAAATATGGCCGGTGGAACGGCTGATGCGGTTAAGGAGTCTGTCCACTGCTCAGTGGATTTCGGAATCGAATCCTAACGGAGAATCTCAAGAATTTTTCATGGGCTGTCTTTCACGCGTATATGGATCTTCGTTTCCCACCGAACGGCTTCCCTATTGTGGTCTTGGCCAAGCCGATGCTAGTCTCTGCTGTAGATTCAATACTATTGTTGATAATGGTAACAAACAAGTAGTTGTGAAAAAAAATTTTAATTATGTTACTATACATTACCTGTTCTGTTTTATTAGAAATTATAATCTCATATAAGTGTTAACATTCTTTATTTTGCATGTATAATTAATTATATAATTAAATAAATTCGAATACATTTACCTCTGTTTGCAGGTCCCCTAGATCCTTCAAAATCTCTATGACAGAAAGCGATTAACAAGCACCTTTTCTGTTGAACTAACCGTTGCAGTTTGTCTGCGAAATTGTCTGTATCGTGAGATTCAAAATTGAGAGGATAATGTGGATGATATTTATTTTCTATTATGGTAATTTTTTCCACGCTAAATCCAATTCCTTCTGGTTCTAAATCGTTATCGAGATCTGTGTATCGGAAGACTTTATCCAGCAATTTCATATGATAAAGCATTTCGGCTACGATTCTTGCGCGATCACCATTCATGAATTCTACAAGTGTATGATCTGCTAATACTTCAACATCGCATATCAGTTTGTTTCTACAATGAAAAATTAAGCAATTGCTTATCAACCCGAAAGCCCTAGATGAATATAGCAATCATCTCCAGACTACAGTAGTTACCATAGTTATATTTAATATTATCATATTTTATTTTTATCTCTTAATATACTTTAATACTATATTTTAAAATACGGACTTACTCTACTTTCAATATATATTCCTTTATAATATTTGAAAAATTAAATCGGTTAGCGAAATGCTCTGTTTTAATAGAAACTATATCTTGTAACGTTTCTTTACAAACACTTGTTCCGTTGTTTAAACTGCATTTAGGCAAGTGATCTTTTTCTTGTTTGAAAATCATTACTTTATTCTTATTTTCATCCCCTTTTAGGTAAACAGAAGCTAACTCAAGATGATATATTTCGAGTGCATTATCTATTCTTCCGATAAACAAATTCCTATGAAAATATCCAGTAACTGAAGATTGTTCTTCTCCATTAACAGTTCCTTCGTAAATATGAAAGTTTGGCGTGTTTCTTATATTCATTTTACTGGTATTTTCGCCGTAAAGAACGATTTTAGTACTCGGTGAAATGATCGAGCGGTCCTTATACAGCGATAATTGAAATTTTCTTTTGTAAGCTCGAAATCGAACCGAAACCATTTCTCTCAGATGTATTGCTTCTAATCCATCTTTTTCATTATAATTTACTTCCATGGTAATCAGTTCGTAATTGTGTTTTAATTTTGGATTCGGATAAGTTAAAGTTGTAAAAATTACGAAAAATAAATTAATTAATATTAATCTTACTATTGAAAAATGCATTTTATGATAAATTATTAGCGTTAATCAATTCACTTTGTTTAAATTACATTGGTAATTAATTATTGAATAATATTGTCAGCAAGCATTGTTTACCGAAATTGTAAACGACACAATAACTTAGTATTTGAATGCTTATTAAAATGTTTTAAAGATACATAAGCAAATATGACAAACTCTGACCTCACGGACTTGCAATTCAAAAATTGTAGACCTATAAATTTCTACTGTCCTCTGAACTTTCAATACAAACCGGCAATCACGTTTGATCAGTTCAAAACGTCCCCACCGAAAGCATTTTTCAATTTTACAATTTTTCATATTGCAAACCCTTGAGGTAACAAGTGGACGAGAACTAACGGATTTCGATGTTTAGAATCTCGATCGGAAAAATCAGCCTTGACTCTGACTCTCGTAGGCATGACAAAATTTTAAAATAAATGTAGCATTCCTCCGAAAGCAAAATTGTCGCGTTGTAAGTAATGAAGACCTAAAGAAAAATTCTTAGTGTCGTCAGAAAAGAAAATATCATGGCGTGCGAAGAGAGAGAGAGAGAGAGAGAGTGATTAAGGTTGAGCCAGAAAAAGTTAGAAACAGGTTAGAGAGGGGATTAAAAGTCAATAGTTTTTATTCTTCAAATTCATATATGAGTTGTTACAAGAGAAAGAGGGAATTAGACTTCCAGATGAGTTTTAAAAAAATGAAAATTTCAACTATTTAGGGTCATATTTACAGGCAGATAATGACAGAGGAAATTAGAGGGTTATAAGTTAGAGGGTGACATATAGAATAGTAAATGTAGGATGGCAAGAATTCAAACAGTATAATTAGATATTGACAGGGATGGAGATAACATGGAGTCTAAACGAAAAACATGTTACTGACATTTTAATCATACATATAGGACTACATAAACAAAGGACAGGTGTCATCAATAAATCTTCATTCAAATGTTATTTTTGATAAAGAAAAATATCTTATAAATTACCATAATATGTAGAGTCAATGTGAATGTCATAAAAAATGTAATTTCCTTTGTCGTAAATACACAACTATTTCATCCCAAATACTATTTCTCAAGGTACTGAAAAGTTTGCCCTTATCTGGATTAAATTTCTATAGCTGTTTAAATGCATCAGAGGATAAGCTATGGTTTTTCCAATTATGATGTCAGGCCATATGTAATAAAATAAAACACAAAAATGCAAATGCATTTGTTTATTAAACTGATACACTATATACAGAGAAAACGTTGTGTACAAAACTGTTATTCACAATATGTACCAATGTAACAGTTCACGATTGATCTCTATTTATAACTGCGGGTAAATTTTTAGTTTAATTTATTCACATACTCATCTGTAATTTCAAATTATCACCTTTTAGAAAAGTGAGATGACGTGTGACATACGCGAATCAAATATAGTAGAAATGAGGCAGCACTGTTTATGATAAATACATCTAACACACTGTTTTCTTCACCGTATTACAATTAGTTGGTTCATTGTATAATCCGCAGTCGCTCAACTCAAATCATCAGATTATCCATCGGATATTTTTTGTATTTCTTTAACGTGAATTTATTTTTTGCTCTAGAGACGAACTACGTGGAAAACTTTCCACGTAAATTCCTTGTGTGAAATTTCGGCATTATCTTTACTTTACGTTATCGTATAGGAAAGGTCTACCTTTCTGCCTCTGTGTTCCAGGAATAAAAATATCTCGAATAAAGCAAAGAAGCAAATTTCAGAATACTATTTCGTTCAAGAATTTGAATTTCACATCTCTAAAGAGAAATGTAATAAAAAAAAAAAAAAGTGGCACGTACGGAACATTTTCCAAAAACCGCGACCATACAACATCCCGGATGCAAATCGAACGACAAGGTTACATCCCATAAAATGTTCACTCGAGCAAAACAACCTGTCAGAAGTGGGGTTCGAACCCACGCCCTCACACGAGGACCAGATCTTAAGTCTGGCGCCTTAGACCACTCGGCCATTCTGACGAGATGTAACAATCTCCTAATCGCACAATTATCAAATCGAAAAGCAATCGTTATCAATCCTGTCTACCAGTTTCGCAAATCATCAGCCATTACAGGTGTGCAGAAATAAAATTAGTTTTACATAAAGGTGACTTGTAACAAAATTGCACCGAGGGCCTGAAAGGAACATAATCCTGTCCGGAATTAATTACTGAGACTTTGGTGACATTTCTCCTTTGATTTTTTCAAGCCTGTATTTTGCTTGGAATAAAACAAATTTTTCACATTGACAGACAACTCGTCACTCTGAAAATCTTTTGAAATTCTCAGTCGATGATTGCTTATTTTTTACGTGTCATTCGAATGCAAATTATTATTGTCGTTGAAATAATTATAATTTTATTTCTGCACATCTGTAATGGCTGATGATTTCACCTGCGGAAGAAAAACGTGTTGTGTGTTTTAAGTACATTGTAGAGGGAATGATGGTTCAGGATAAATGTTACACAGAAGCTTATTCCCGTCGCTTCTGTAAAAATCTTTATAAGAAGCGAAATTGCAGACGAATTTCATAAACCGTCGGCTTAGCAATTCTCAACTCGAGATGAAACGCACGCACGTTCGATGAAAAACCGAACGATTCGTTACTATCGACGACTAATATGCGATGAAAGATGAAAAGTTAGTTGCGAAATGTCCAGTCGATGACGGCAGTTGGAATGGCATTTCTTCCGAAAGCAGAGAGGTGTAACGAAAATGCGAAACTCGTAGACAAGATTGATAACGATTGCTTTTCGATTTGATAATCAGGCGATTAGGAATTACTGTGTCTCGTCAGAATGGCCGAGTGGTCTAAGGCGCCAGACTTAAGATCTGGTCCTCGTATGAGGGCGTGGGTTCGAACCCCACTTCTGACAGCTTGTTTTGCTCGAGTGATCATATATCAGCGTTCAACCTTGTCGTTCAATTTGCGAGATGATGTATGGTCGCGGTTATTTGGAAAAGTCTCTGTACGGTACTTGTCTTTTCTTATAACAGTTTTTCTTCGTAATGCAAAGTTCGAAGTCTTGAACGGAATATTATTTTAACACTAATGGCCTGAATTTTCTTCTGACATTTAAAATATGTATGTGTGTACAGTACTGTACATTCGTTGCATTACACTGATTATTTAACGCGTGTAAGATGAAATTTTATTCTTCTTTGTTTTTGATCTTTGAAGTTTCGTATGTTACTTTCGGATCACATTGGACAATTTTCTCCAAGTTGTAATTCCATCTATAGTTTGTTATTTATCCTTTGTAATATTCTACTATAGAAAGTGTGTAAGCAAAATCCATAAGGATTTCAAAAAGAATGGAATAATATATTTTATTTAACAAAATCAAAAGTACAGTATATGCAAATTATAGTTATTAATTAAGTTCGGCTTTTTGCTTTTGTGATATTAAAGATTATGTTTTGACTAAGAGATTTTTTTTTGTTTTAACATTTGATTTACAGATAGTAGTAGCCTACGAGATACTGTGAGGTATTGCCACGACGTACTACGTCCATTTTGCTACAGCTTTAGCTTTAATCTCGGAACAAGGAATCGTTCAATTTCTTATTACTGAAAAATTGAGCATAAACAAATATATTAATCTAAGAAACTTTCACATATATATTCATTACCGATAAAGGGTCCGATCTACGTCAGAGTTCACCTACGTTATCTTGCTATTCGTAGAGAACCCTTCCATTGATTCAAAGCGTGTTCAATTTGAAAACCCTTAGCTGGGGTCCGACATATTCGGGATAAATTAAATCCATTAAATAACTATGCTGCCGACCTAGAGAAAACACAAAAGAAAACGGAAAAAATTCTGCATATATTTATGCGTGCTGGCGTCTATTTCGTGTAATATCTCAGAATACCTCAATGATTGAGAAACGGAATTTGTTATGATAACTTGTATATAAGAGACATTGATACAGTTAAATTTTGGTGGTTAAAGGTCGAAAGAGAGATGGGGAACCTACAAATTAAACAAGTTAAAAATTTAGGAACGGCATAATTATAATTAATTTTTTAAGGAATCATTTAATAGTTTTTGTTCAAATAAATTACATGTAATATAGTTTAAAAGACGTTTTTCCGAAAAATATTTTGAATTATATTGTGAAAAAAATTATAATTTTCTGAGTCTGTGTTATGTACGATTTAACCTCATTGGTTGAACGTTCGGCACGTGACGAACGTATTCAAATTTTAAATTCGAAGAATATCGTTAGTATTGCAGAATATTCCGCATCAAGAAAAATGGAAGAAAAAGAAATAAAGGAGGTCGGTATTCTCAGTTTTTCTTTAATTTCTATGAAATTAAAGTAGGTTAATCAAAATTTTAATTTAAAAGCCTCGTTTTTTTGGACATATGGCCGAGGCGGTTAAGGCATGGGCATATTGCTCTATAGGACCCGAAATCGAATTATGGAGAGCTAGGGCAATCTGTCCCGGATATGTCGGGCTATATACTCATCATTGATCGCCCCATTATGTCCCTAGTTAGATCCACGATAAATATTTATCATATTCATCGTGGATCTAGCTAGAGACATAATGGGGCCAAATATGAAAAAGTGCTTGTTTTTCATATTTATGTTAAAAATAAGCACACGAAATGCCTTTGTAAAAAGAAAAGATTTTATTCTATGCATTTTATTTCATTTTATTCAAATTATTCTATAACAAATTACATCATTTCTATAATTTACTAAATACATTATACAAAATTAAAAAGAGTTTTCAATTTTTACAAAAATGGAAAAATTGCTTAATAAAAATTAATTCGAAAAAAATAGAACAAATTACTTTAATTTTCTTTTATTTTATTAATAACTAGCTGCAAGGACCCGCTTCGCTGGGTTTTTATTTGTTCGTACATTTGTATGTAATATAGTTTTTGTTTTTTATATATAAAAGACTGTTTTTCTAAGTAATCTAGAATCTAGCTGCAAGGACCCGCTTCGCTGGGCATTTAAAAAGTAACGATAGTGAAGATTAAGATAATTACATTATAGCCAATCTTACCCGTTTTCACAGAATGCAAGAATTAGGTCCCCCGTTTCTGATTAGAGATCTGGTCCCGATTCTATTTCTGAACGTCTCCTGTTCACGTCAAGTCAAACGAACTATTTTCAACGTTTCTGGAACGTTTACAATCGTTCTATAATCGAACCAATATTCGAATTTTATGTTCGAATTTAATTCGAATTTGTACGAACAAATTCGAACAAAACATTCGAAATAGAAAGCCACTTTCAACCACTGTCAGCCTCATATGTCCCGCACCCTTATAGCTATCGAGACGCAACCCCCTGGTGCACGAATGGAGACTTGGGGCTACCACCACATACAAACAGCATTCATGTGCGATGTGTAGTTTTTGCGGAAAAGTGAAATATAGGGACACACGTCCATTTATATATATATATATATATATATATAGATTTAACATTAAAGTAAAATTTTAATACATTTTTTGGCTCCGTTTTCTTAAAATTTAATAAGATAGTGACGTAAATTATTGCTTTATTAAATACACGTGTCCCAACTGCCCGTACATTGGGACACTTGAGGCACGTGTTTCCCCCTTTTAGACGGCCCTAAACAACATAAAATTTATGACTTTTAACCTATTCTGCAAATATAAAACAAACTAATGAACGATATTTGTCCATTAATCCATGCAACTTCGTCGTATGTTGACCCAAACTCCATTTCTTGTTTTCGAGGCCAAGTGCAAGTGTCACTTTGTGGAGCACTGATTCAACATTGAATCATAGAGTTTGAAGCTCGTTGCATAATATACAATGCTCTTTTTTATAGCTTGTGCCTCCCACTTTTCATAGTCTGAGGCCGCTGCTGAAATAAACAATTATCGATTAATCGAAAAATAGACTGTTAGAAGAAAAATTGCCATCACTGCTCTATCCACCGTTTAAAACAGAATTTATAAATTCATAAAGTGTTATTTTATTTACAGAGCACTAAGCAAGAACTATCCAATTATTTAGGATTTTCTAGTCTTCCCAATCAAGTTCACAGAAAATCTGTGAAAAAAGGATTCGAATTCACATTATTGGTGGTGGGTAAGTAGAAAACTGATAAATACATATCTTTTTTTTCAATTAATATATAAATTTTTAATTATACAGGTGAATCTGGGTTGGGTAAATCCACTTTGATCAACAGTTTGTTTCTAACCGATCTGTATCCTGACAGATATGTACCAGAAGCTAAAGGTTTGTATAATTTATATCAAATTTAAATATATGTACTTATGTTATGTTTATATTTTCAGAGAAAATAGAACAGACTGTTTCAATAACCACATCCACTGTAGAAATAGAAGAAAAGGGAGTAAAGCTGAGATTAACTGTTGTGGATACACCAGGATTCGGAGATGCTATTGATAATACTGATTGGTAAACGTATTTTAGAAAAAGTATTATGTTTAATTGACTTAAAATGTAGCCCGAAATTAATCATAAATTTAGTTTCTGGTTGAATTTAAAATAGTATAATAAAAATTCGCAATTTTCAAACAGAATTCTTTTAATTTTTCAGTTTCACTTCCATTATTCAGTACATTGAAGATCAGTTCGAATGTTTTCTGAGAGAAGAAAGTGCGCTAAATAGAAGGAATATTGTCGATACTCGAGTTCACTGCTGTTTTTATTGCATTTCTCCATTCGGACACGGTCTTAAGCCACTCGATATTGCTTTCATGACACATCTTCACAACAAGGTTAATCTTATACCTCTAATTACAAAAGCGGATGCTCTGACTAAGACAGAGTTAACTAAACTGAAAGCTAGAGTAAGTCTTTATTAAAAACATATTTATTTTTAAACTGGCGTGTATATAACATTTATTTTTTTAATTATAGATAATGAGAGAAATAGTAGACAATGGTATTCGAATCTACGATTTTCCTGATTGCGATTCTGATGAAGATGACGAATATAAACAACTAGTCTGCGAGTTAAAAGTTAGTGGTTTGTTGTAAAAAGAAATTCATTAAATTATAATTATAAAACGTATTTCTAAATGTTTAGGAAGCCACGCCATTTGCCGTTTCTTCCGCTTTGCAAACATATGAAGTAAGAGGCAATAAAGTAAGAGGTAGAGCTTATCCTTGGGGAATACTCGATATAGAAAATACAGAACACAGCGATTTTTCAAAATTAAGATCGATGTTAATGTAAGTAAAATTCAATTTTATAAATAAACGTATATGAGTAAATTGCGAGAAAATCACCTGTGTAGAGAAAATTAGTAGGTTCTGGGGAATCATATGGTGTGGTGGCTCTTCCAGCCTACTGAAAATGGCTGAAGTTATTAATTTAAATACTTATAAGTAAATATAAGTATTATGTATATGTGCGTGCGGGTGTATTTAAAGTACAAACTTATTCTATTGAATTTAGAACCCATATGCAAGATTTACAAGAAGTTACTCATGAGCTTCATTACGAAACATATCGTTCGGATCGTCTAGCAGACAAAGGAGCCACTGTATGGCGCAAAACACCGTAAGTTATGTTTATTAAATTAATGAATTTATAACTTTAAATAAATTAATTGTTTTTTTTTCATTAAAAGTTAAATATTGTTTCTTATCGTAGTGTTCGACCAGAAGAAACGGAGAAAATCTTGAAAGAGAAAGAAGCCGAACTAAGCCGTATTCAAGGCATTTTAACTAGAATGCAAATGCAAAAAGAAAGTAAAACCTCCACCAATTATTAAAAATATTCACTATTGATTTAAAAAAGTTAAAATTCTTAAGAGAAACCGATTCACTAGATACAAAATTTAAAAATTTTGTTAATTCACTATTAAACAAATAAAGAAATTCATTCAAAATTTGAAATAAAAGTATTATTTTTTTTTGGATTTCAAAAAAATTTCAGATTTCTTCATTCCTTGAATAAAAAGCTGCAGAATTGTCTTGCGTTTTATTTGTAGTTCTTCCATAGCTAACAGAACAATGACCTTATACAGAAAATTTCTACCTTACCTTGTATAAAATTGGAAAAGATTAAACAGAGAATAGAACCGGAATGGAAATTTAAACGATAGGCGCAAAAAACTAGGCGTTACTTTAGCTAAGCAGAACAGAACATTAAGAAAGAAAAATGAAGAAAAGTTTACGTGAAGCAAAATATGAATAAAGTCTAGCAGAATTTCAAAAACCAGTTACAAAGAAATTAGCTGTTCCTGTAGATGTTAGAAAAGTTATGAAAACCCTTGAAGATGCTATAAGTTCATAACAATGCGATGATAAAAACTTATTTTTAACGAAAAAATCGATAAAACAAGCATGAAACACAAGAAAATTAAGCAAAGCCATCGTTAAAGTGACTAATGACATGTTCTACTGAGTATTATTTAAATAACTTATCTCTAGGCGTCTCTAACTATACATATACTGCAGATGACTTAATTAAATGAAGGATTAGATGTTTCGTATATAGAGCAATATGATTTTATATTACTATCACAATTAATAAATAAACCTCCTAAAATAGATAAAATGCTTGAAAAAAATTGAAAGTATACGTAAACCATTAGGCTCATTAAAAGCTAAAAACAAACAAAAAGTTAAATAAAACTAAAGATGAAAGACAAAGAAGCTTTTCTTCTAATGCTTTTTAAATTAAACTAATCGTTCTGAATTAAACTTAATTGCGTCCAATCGTTTTTGGTAGTTTGTGTGTTGAATATTGTACGATAAGAATTCGTATTGTTTGGTGGATATTAAAAATAATCATGTAGGATTTGAATGGCAAATTGTCTGAACAAGCGCGAGTAAAGACGAGGATAAAGAATACAAAAATAGTTAAATATATCAATAACACATGTAATGCAAAAGATACATAAAAAATGCAATAAATACACATGATATTCGGTTGTTTATAAATTAAATAATATATACTGCCTTCACATTGAACAGAAACGTACAGTACTCGGCAAAATAATTAATCAAGTAAAGAACACATTCTTTGCCAAGGGAGTTTATTAAAAACTAACGTTTTCGATCTACTCCATAGATCATCCTCAGGTTGAAATATTCGAATTTGGAATAACAAAAATAGAACGCCAAATTCAAAGAGATAAAAACCGACAACTTAGCAACTAATTAAAATAAAAATTAAAGCGTAAAAATACATAAATGTAAAAATAAATAACATACAACTACTAAATAATATTATAGTGGCTTCACTACTGTATTTGTTAATCAATAAAAATCACTAAGGTTCCCATATCGTGTGAATCCGGGAGCGTAAGGCTCCCGTTCACTTGTCAGGACGACTAATTGACTCTCAAATGTCAGGCGAGTGGATGGAGAGAATTTGGGGTCGACGATAAGGTGAAGGGTGTCATCGAGTAAAGGAGTCTACCATATTTATAACAGATAAAATAACAATTTATTAACGAAGCAAATTAAACAAAGACTACACAAATTACGTCAAAACCGCCTAATATGCAGAGAGAGAGTTTCCCGCTGTTCATACCTTTTTATGGAGTTCCTTGATCGGTTTAATCCGGGGAGGCGCTTAAACGTTCAAATCTATTATCCACAAGAGCATAAATTTAAAAAGTTCGCGACTTTTGCGATGATTTAATTCGAGGTTCATCGGAGATCGGAATTCGGCGGGTTCGGAAAATCGGCGCGATTTCGTTAGTCCTGCGTTCGTTCGTAGACTCCCCAGAGAGGGGGTAAGAACTGTCTTTTATAGGTTTTTGTGGGGAATTTCCACTACGTGATCGGATGTTCATGAGTTAAAGGTTATAGGTGTTCCTGGGATCTAAAACAAATGACGACATTTAGATGCTAACTGTAAACTTTCTTGCAAGATGAGATGCAAGTTCTGCAGAGAACAATGGATGTTGCTAGTTATGACCAGAAAGTTTACACAAGCCCAGCTAAAACTCGTTTTTTCTTCTAGGGCGTTACATAAACGAAAGTTTAATTAATTAACATTTTTGTTAATAATAGAGCGGGATTTTCGTCACAAAAATTCCGGATCTCACAATCGCGATTGCGGATATGACGCAATTCAAGAACTACTTGTATAAGTTTTTTAAGTTTTTTAACGGCTTACTTCCATGCTGAGGGTAGGCCCTCCGCATCTCTGTCGTTTATGCATTTTTCATCTAACTTGCTCCTATATATTTCCATCTTTTCGGCAGTTTTCGCTAAAGTTGGGGAGTGCACTTCTCTGATGATTTCCGCATCCTCCCACCTAACTACGGATCCTTGGGCCTGAGCCATCTGGGCCAGAACCGTTGCGTTAGATCTTTTTCTAATATCATATTTATGCTCTTTGACCCTTATTCCTAGGTTTCTCGTTGTAACTCCTATGTACTCCTTTTCTATTCCTAACTGCTGGTTCTCGTACGGGATCCTGTACACTCCTGCTTTATCTTCCCTCTTAATATCCCCTTTATCATTTCTTAGAATCTTGTACAGATTCGAAGCTCGTTTTACGATCAACGTTGATCCATTATTGTCCGCAATCTCCTTCATGACGGTTCTTACATTTTTGTTGAATGTACACTTCGTGTATTTACTAGGCCCTTGTATCGCCTATCTCGAATTTTCTAATAATGCCAGCGATTATGTTTCTTCTGTAACCCAAGGTTTCTGCTATCTGCATAATCCTTTTCATTTCTTTATTTCTGTCCATAATGTTATCGCAATATAGTAAAGCCCTTCTAATTAAGGCACGAAAAGCTGCTAATTTATAACGAAATGGATCATTGGACTGCGTAGGAATGTAGAGTGGGCTATGCGCCGGTTTGGTATACGCATTAGTAGATAAATGCCCTTTCTTAAAGATGATATTAAAGAAATGAAAAGGATTATGCAGATAGCAGAAACCTTGGGTTACAGAAGAAACATAATCGCTGGCATTATTAGAAAATTCGAGATAGGCGATACAAGGGCCTCTAAACAAGGGCCTAGTAAATACACGAAGTGTACATTCAACAAAAATGTAAGAACCGTCATGAAGGAGATTGCGGACAATAATGGATCAACGTTGATCGTAAAACGAGCTTCGAATCTGTACAAGATTCTAAGAAATGATAAAGGGGATATTAAGAGGGAAGATAAAGCAGGAGTGTACAGGATCCCGTACGAGAACCAGCAGTTAGGAATAGAAAAGGAGTACATAGGAGTTACAACGAGAAACCTAGGAATAAGGGTCAAAGAGCATAAATATGATATTAGAAAAAGATCTAACGCAACGGTTCTGGCCCAGATGGCTCAGGCCCAAGGATCCGTAGTTAGGTGGGAGGATGCGGAAATCATCAGAGAAGTGCACTCCCCAACTTTAGCGAAAACTGCCGAAAAGATGGAAATATATAGGAGCAAGTTAGATGAAAAATGCATAAACGACAGAGATGCGGAGGGCCTACCCTCAGCATGGAAGTAAGCCGTTAAAAAACTTAAAAAACTTATACAAGTAGTTCTTGAATTGCGTCATATCCGCAATCGCAATATGGGAACCTTAATGATTTTTATTGGTTAACAAATTGGCTTATAATATTATTTAGTAGTTGTATGTTATTTATTTTTACATTTATGTATTTTTACGCTTTAATTTTTATTTTAATTAGTTGCTAAGTTGTCGGTTTTTATCTCTTTGAATTTGGCGTTCTATTTTTGTTATTCCAAATTCGAATGTTTCAACCTGAGGATGATCTATGGAGTAGATCGAAAACGTTAGTTTTTAATAAACTCCCTTGGCAAAGAATAAGGTGTTCGTTACTTGATTACTGTCTTTACATTGACAGAAATTGAAAGAATCAATGGTCTTTAGAAAAGACTATTCTCACGTTAAAATTCTAGCTGTTGAGATATTTAGATTATTTACATATAAATATATTATTGATGTATTAACGTTTGTTATTTAATTAAGTAAATATTCCATCGACTGGACTACTAGAGAGCCACAGATTATCCATAGCTAGACCAATCTTGATTCTTAAGTATAAGTAATCCAATTGATTCTGAAACACAGTCCGTGTGATTTCCAATTATCCGATTTGTGCAAATTTCCCCTTTAGTGACAGGGCCAATCATTTATAACCAGATGCATAACAGAGATGTGTCTATTTCAAAGTTAATATTATTTCCAAAATGAGAGCTTTAAAGTTGATTTTGTTTTTGGCGAAAGCATCTAAAATACGATCGAAGCTAATAAGAAGAATTTTTATAAATAGTACTCTATCTATTTATAAAAATTCTCCTTTAGTTTTGGCTTATATTGGCCGAAACTGATCGAGTTAAATGTGATATATATTGATAATAAGGTAGAAGAAATTAAAGGAGTAATAGAATACAGTATTTCCATTATTTTGATAATTGATATTTTTGATAATGCCATAATTAATGAATTTTATTTATTACAGTTAGTGAAGTTAAGATCAAAAGAAACAAATATCAAATATAATTGATATTTACTTCTTAATTAAATGATTATCCTTTAGTGGTAACGGAGTTATAGAATGAAAGAACAAACCAAATATGGAAAGCTTAAGGACAGGAGGCTCGATTAATCATATAAGAACTTCTGATCTGTACAGAAAATCACATAATTTCAATTGAAAAATTTTCTTTCTCAGGCTCTTCAAGCCATTTCAGAAACATTTCATCACGTTTTATGATAGTACGAATACACAATATTCTAATATTACAAATATTCAGACTGCTACACTTTAACAAAAAGGAAAAATGATTCTAAGGACGGATGAATTTAACGTCCGTTTCCCAGATGTCCTGTCTGCAAGGTGGGGACCTTACTCTCCTCTCTCCCCTGACCAAGCGATCTCCTCCCCTTCGTGACCCCCTCAGTTCTCCGAATTTTTGACCATTGCAGATGTGGAGTTAAGAGGAGTGGTGCTAATGAGTAGCAGATTTTAAACTCTGCTTACAAATATCATTTCGCAATTAGAATCGTACCACTCCGAATGCATCGTTACAAGCGTTTTAAAAAGAAAGGTGAGCGCACTGCTTATCTTTGAGTTACGGAAGAATAAATTAAATAAATTAAAAATATGATTAAAAATTGGTCCATTATTGTGACGAGTCACCATATTTTTGCTCATAATATAAATAACAATAAAACTGATATATTAGAATGGAAAAAAGTAATGTATCAATATATAAGTTTGATTGTTCATGTATGAAAAATTATGTAGGTGAAACTGGGAGAAAGTTAAGAGTTAGGTTTAATGAGCATACTTATGCAATCAAAAATAATTTGCAATCATTAGCACTAGCTAAACATTGTATTCAATTTAGTTGTAACATAAACAAAGACTTACTAAAGATCCCATAAGAACTGGTGAAACCAAGTTGAAAAATAGAGCTCAACAGAAACATTAAAATTTAGATGTTTCTGCTGAGCTCTATTTTTCAATCTGGTTTTACCAGTTTTTTTTTTATGGGATTTTAAGTATTTTTCAGTCATGAATAACTTCATAATATAATAGAATTGAAACTTATTGTGTCAGAGAATAAATATATGTCACATAGTATACGCTCGACCAATGAAATGTTAATATTTAAAAATGGGTTATAATTTTGTAAATACTCAATACTTTTAAATATAACCTTCAAAAGGACCACAAAAGAGATGGTCAGCTCTCGAAAGAGCCATTAAGCATATGCAAACTGCTTCTAGATTTTCCTGTAGCTCGCGAAAATTTCTCGTGTAAATCTAGTGGAAAAAAATGATAAATTTAGAATTACGTAAGTCCAGAACGATTCGACAAAATTATTCAAAATTTAAGACATTGCGGACACTAAATATTTTAAATTTCATCCAAATCGGTTTGTTGGTCTGAGATATTAACGGTCAAATTTTGCAATTTAATACTATGGTATAAGGTGTGGCCGAGCTCTACTATAGAGCCTCTATGATAATTAAAACTAATTAGAAAATTCTTGACAATGCTTTAATCCTTATTACTTTTAAAAAATAATGAAATAAAATAAAATCCAAGAGAGATTAGTATTGGTAAAGTTTATTTATTCTCCGCATAAAAATAATTATTTGTTGTAAAGTTTCGATAAGTATCCGTTTTATCTTGATCGAATTTACCATTCATAAAATTTTGATTTTGCCTTTTTTCCAGAATTAAGAGGAAACGGGAGATGACATATTGATAATTTCGTTAAATTTATCGTAAGCATTCTGTCAAAAGTTGGACGTTGCTATGATTATTTTTCCATCTTTTGTAGGAACGATAACGCCTCCTGTAATATAAATCATGCAAAAATTACTTCCTGTTTATGTAATTTTCTTAAAATATATAAAATATTTTAAACATATAAAATAAATTCAAATTACAATATGTAAAATTGAATAGAACTTATTTATCTGACGGGCGGATAGCCGAGCGACTAAAGGCAGTGTCACGTTATAGGGCCCAGGCAAATTTAAATTAAGGAGCCCCATGTTAAATACAGTGTTTTATAAAGACATTTTTCCTTGGAGAAATTTTTTGAAGGAAATACTTTCTTATAAAAGGTTTGGAGTCCCTGTTGGTTGAGGCCTTAGGCAATTGCCCTTTTTGCCCATAGGATAACGCGCCATTGGCTAAAGCTGACAGCCTACTGCTCTGGGATCCGGGATCGATCTGGAAGGATCATAAAATCACAAGAATTTTTTGAGGGCGATCAGTCCCGGATATATCGGACCCCGCCCTCATCATCCGGCTTCTCATTATGGGCCTGGCCGAACTCATACTGGGCTTACTAAAATAAATGGTCCCGTAAAACTCGCAAGAAGGAGAGTTTTAAAAATATTCATGTATGTATCTATACATATTCAATTGAAACTCTAAGATCAATACGAATTTTCCAAAATAAAACCCGGAAAATTCCACGAGACCAGCCCGATGGCCATGTGCGAATCCACGCTCAACTTCTAGCGTTCGGTGGTTTTATCCCCTCAACCGATGGTAGGCATTGCAACTCTTTAGTCGATCACCATTTTGTTTTAAAATGAGTAAATTTACGTTTTAAAATAGCGTAATCGTCATTTTCTTCCCAGATATGACAGACAAACATTAAAAATTACATTATTCTAAAAAGAACAGTTCTTTAAAATTTAAACCATGGTTGACAATAATTCAAATTGTACACAGCGTACAATTTGAATTTAGATTTACACAGTGATCTATGCGCTGTACACTGACGCATAGATCACTGTGTAGATCTATGTTCTATTAGTCTATCTTACCTAAGTGTAGCAAATAGCTGATGAAAAAAACAAATTATTAAAAATGAAGAAACGATTGCCATCGCCATCTTTTCTAAGCATATAAACACGCTCAGGATACCCAGGAATGTTGCTGCACATATAACAATTAAATCTCTTCTTAAAATTTTTCTGTTCTTTAAAGAGTCATTACTTTGCCACCATTCTCTAAATTTCTGAAGAAAAATATTGTAAGTTAAGTTTGAATAAAGTAGATTTAATAAATGGAATTTTCGTAGAAAGCTGCATTACTTTCGGAATGCGGATAACGTGAAACGGTGTTTGGCACAACTCGCAAGAATCCACATTTCGATTTTCTAACCATGTTTCTAAGCAATTTTTATGTACGAAACCTACGGATCCTGGTAAATTAATTAGAGATTAAAATTGCTATAATTTGTTATATTTGAATAGTTGTTAATTTGCTACATTTTACCTTTGCAGAGGCAAGGAGAAATTAAATTACCCTCATCGGCCAAACAGATTCGGCATTTAGTTGTGCTGTCCTTCATTCCGTTTGTATTTGCACATTGAATACAGTAATTGTCAATTTTCGAAGATGGTTTGTCGTTTTCTTTAATGTCTCCAGACTCCATCCGATTGAATTCAAACAATCCAATAATACCGTAGCTCTTACAAACAGAAACGTAACAAATTTTGGATTTCAATTATTTCCGTAATGAACCAATTGTTAAGCTGGGTGAACTTTTAAATTTCCAATCTGTAATAATGGCAAAATATTAAATACAGTAATAAAATTATTATTTTTTATATTTTCGATAATTTCAAATTTTACGATTGGTTAGTACGTAGTTTTCACGTTTTGAAGCATTTTTGTGACTTTTTTCTATTGTTCTGACAAAAAATCTTATTCGAGGTTACAGGAAGCGCCGCCATCATTATTCTAGAAAAGTAATTATAGAAAGCTAACCTTCCACCCCGAGGTGTGTGAGCTGATATTAGTAACGGAAGTTTGGTCCTTTGGCACCATCTGTTGAGGGGAAGGGCCAGCTATAATATGAACGATTGACAAAAATAGAATTTAAAGTGGTGTGACTAAATACAAGCATAAGCTTGATTCTTAGAGCAATTATTTAACAAATAGAGCCAATAAAATCTAATTCTATGACTAAAAAAGCAAGAAAGAGGCACATTGTACGTGCCTGACATGCAAATGAGGAGCACATCCTCCATTCCAATTATGCAAATCGACCAAGAGTTAAAGAAAAACGCCAAAATTAAGAAAAAAAGCGTCTAAAATTACAAGAATAAGCGATTCTAACTAATAATATATAACTCTAAACAGTTTAGAGACATCAAAAACACATTAAAAACTAAGGTTAAGGATTGTGATTACAAAGTGAAAAATTAAGGTTAAGGCAAAAAATCGACCACAGACAAAGATATTACGCTATAATAAACTATTATTAAAAAGAATCTTTTAACGTTATAAGAGAAAATAAAAAAACACTCAGCAGAAACGCTCCAACTGCACAAGGGGAAAAAAATTATTTTAAAAATTAAGAGGACGCCAGTCGGAAATAGCGATCAAAGTCGCGATTTTGAATGAAAGTATCAAAATAACAATAGACTAGTAAATTTAAATCTAAAAAGAAGAAAATTTACTGATAAGGTTGTAAAAATGAAAAAAAAAAAATTAATTAGGATGATAGATATCGCCTATTTGTCGGTTAAAGTCCAGATAGGTATACCGTCATGGCGGCTCATCTCTGATTCCAGCAAACAAAAGGAAACAGTGGGGACGCACGTTCTAACCTAACCTATTCTAATAATTTGATTGGTAATAATTATGGTAATTTATTAGAATAGGTTAGGTTAGGTTAGAACGTGCGTCACCACTGAACTGGCGTCCTCTTAACCCATAAGTACCGTATAGAATATACGAGATAAAAGAACAAATAGAGAAAACAAAAAATAAATTAAGTTAAATTAAGTAAAAATATACAGAAACACGGCTGGTTGTTGCAAATATCCAACTCCCGAGCTGTTCAGTAGCTGTATGGAGGCAGCTATCATCGCCCTAGAGGTCAGTAGGAACTTGAAACGGGAAATTAAAGAACAAATAAAGATAAACTTAGGGAAGGCACAGGAGATTGTAGATCTCGGGGAGCACCGAAGTACTCCAGATCTTAATGTGGGGTAAGAAATAAATGAGGACCTCACAACACAACACACCTCAGAGCAAAAAAACCAATTTATATTAACTTAAGCGCGTGTACAGATGGTAATGGCTAACATTAGCCGTTCGATGATAACCGATTTTACAAGGGGTACTACTATCCGATTATTACAATCGACATCGCTCGCTATTCACGAATACCGATAATAAGAGAATTACAATCTATTACAAGAAGAATCCAGATCGTTGGTTTGCCTGCGCAATATTCTGCATCAGGCCGTATCCTCGGCAAAATCGATAACAATGGGGAGTTGATCACGTGTGAAAAAAGTTATTAATTTCGAAATAATGTAGCACTTGCTACTAATAAGCAAAGTTCTTTCGACTACACTTGAAATTATCGTTCCTCGTATCGTCATTCTCCGATGCGACTCGATTTTTCTCCCTTCCGTACGATTACTGCCGACTTGTCTATCCTTGCATATTGCGACCCCTTACCTCCTTTCTCCTCGTCCTTTGTCCTGTCAAGGTCTCTCTTAGTGCAAATTAGTTCAGGAGAGCCCGAAAAGAAAAAGGCCTCTGCCGTTTCGGGGTCACCCTTTTATATCACCACATGTTCAATCCTCCCGCCACCTATCACGCGGTCACCTTAACATCCAATCAGCAGTCCACCAACCACCACCATAAGGTAGCGCGCGACACAAAAAAATTGACATCGACGCGTCACAAAAATAGTAACAACCCGACACATATAATAAAAATATAAAAAAAAAATAATTTATAATACAAAATAAGAATAGCACTACAAGATATTCCTGTCCTTATTCAATAGTTATAAGGACTTAAACGACAACTACAACGACTTTATAAATTATAAGCAACTAAAGGAAGATTTTAAAGATTTCAACGACAAAAATCAAGCACAACAGCTAAGCCTACGTGCTCGGACTTCTCGTCCATAGCCAGAGCCGGATTAACTCATTTTGGGGCCCTAGACATTTTCTTCTTCAGGGTCCCCTGCCGGCTCTTTCAATGAATAAATTTTGTTACTATTATTTATATTAAATCGCATACAGACACTGCAGCTGCTTAATAAAAAATAAAAGCAAAATTATTTAACAATATTTCACAGGATTCAAGAATACATATAATTAATATTATTCTTATCGCTGTAAAAAAAAATTCTAAATTATTGGGAGTTCCCTTTTACTTCCAATTAGAAGAAACATAAGAATACGAGGGTTGTTCAAAAAGTTCTCGAACTTTATTTATTACAAAAAAAAAATACTTCACATACTTGTCAGGGTCCCCTTCAAAGTAGTCTCCTCCGCAACGTATACACTTATTTCAACGGTGTTTCCACTTTTTGAAACAGTCCTGGAACGCTTTTTTCAGAATGCTCATAAGCTCCTCCGTTGTTTTTTTCTATCTCAGGAATGGTGGCAAATCTTTTTCCTTTGAGTGTGTTTTTTAGTTTGTTGGAGAACAGCAAAAAGTCTCTTTGTGTCAGGTCAGGTGAGTAGGGGGAAAACACAGCGGTCTTGTTTTTGGCCAAAAACTCACGAGTTCTGAGGGACAAATGAGCCGGCGCGTTGTCGTGATGAAAAAAACACTCGCCGCTCCTCCAAAGTTCGGGCCGTTTACTCCTGATTCTGTCTCTTAGGCATTTCATAACACCAAGTAGTACTCTGTGTTGACTGTCTGGCTTGTAGATAGGTATTCGTGATGCACAACCCCCTTTGCATCGAAAAAAACAGTCAACATCACCTTAACATTTGAGCGAACTTGTCGAGCTTTTTTGGAGCAGGGGGCTGTTTCACCCACCCGTGGGAAGTTTCCGTGAAGGATTTTCGGAGTTTCACACAGAATTTCACAGAACAACGCAAAATCATTTTAATGTTACCAGTAGCATTGTGATAAGTCTACTATAGTGTATTTGAGATATTAGTTTCAACAATTTTCAAGACAAGAAGCTCTTTTATAATGTTTAAAACTGTTATATTGCTATATATTGTGAATGAAAGTTTTTTACATAAATTATCTGTTTAATAAATAGATAATGGTAAAATAAGTAAATAAATTTGCATTTTACTGTTTTGTTTTATTACATATATATGACAATTAGGAAAACCATAGCTTATTCTTTGATACATTTAAATAGTTATAGAAATTTAATCCAGATAAATACAAACTATTTTTTAAATAATTTATTAACTTTAACACTATATAAATTGTTCTTTACATTTTTACTTGATTCAGTATAGTCAGAAATAGTATTTGAGATAAAATAGTTATGTATTTTTTACATGAGAAATTACATTTCTTATGACACTCATACTGGCTCTACATAGTTTGGTAATTTATATAATATTCTGCACTATCAAAAGTACAATATGAATGAAGATTTGTTGATGGCTTACTACACCTATCTTTTATTTATATATGTTTAAAATATCACTAGCATGTCTTTCTTTTAGCCTCCATGTCATCACTAATCACCAACACTATCAAACTTTAATTATGGATATTCTTCTTCTTATATTTTCAATGGCACTTTCTTTTAAAGATAACTCTTATTATGACGATTTTGTCGTATAACTGTCTCTATACTTCGTATGGAGAACCGTTCTAATGGCAGACTTTCGTATAACAGACTCTTACATAGTATGGAGAACTCTGAATTGAGGACTCTTCGTATGACGATCTCCTCGAATGGCAGGAAAATGTCCCTTTTATATCGGCCTTCTCTGACGGTCTAGTAGCGTGTGCAAAAGCTCGACTCATCTCATGAGTCGGCCGTGGAAAGGAAATCAATTTCCTTTCTAAAATCGAAAGTTTCTTTTGACATCCGTTTTTGAAAAATTCGTTGAAGTTTAAAATATTATTTTCTGTTACTTTATAAATCTTTTTCTCTCCTTGTTTTTGCCCAAAATGACTTTCCTTCTAACTCTAGATTCTCACAATACTGTCTGAACTGTTGCCATCTTACATTTACCTATTTTATTTGTCAATCTCTTACTCATCATCCTCTAATCATCTCTTAGTTATTAGAGAGGTTGCGACCGGCGTTTTCAACGTGAAAACGTGTACATCGGACGTGCAGCGCCGCTTTCCTAAAGGCCTAGAAGTTTGACAATGGTGTTTGGATAGTCAGTGGAATCATGCTCGACATTCCGAACACCATTGCCAAACTTCTAGGTCTTTAGAAAAGCGGCGCTGCACGTCCGATGTACACGTTTCGCGTTGAAAACGTCGGCCGCAACCTCTCTATTATGTGTCTGTAAATATGTTGTCTAAATAGTTGGAATTTCCTCTTTTTTCTCTAACAGTCTATATTTGAAATTCAAGAACTAAATCTACTGACTTTTTAATCTTCCTCTCTAAGTTGTTCCTAACTTTTTTGGCTCAATTTTAATTTCTATCTCATTAATGAACACAATATAAATTGTGAATAACATATATCATAGCTCTTTTCTCACTGCAAACTACAATAATTTATCTTAATTATTAATAAATAAAAAAAAAGATGTGGGCTTAAACCTTGATAATCTAAAACCACCCTAAATCTCTTTTTTTGTAACACTTTAAATCTATCCTAACACGTGGTTTAACATTTCTATACATTTCTCGGGAATCCTGAAGACATCCTATATTAATAATGTATATACAGGCTTAACTATAAATTTTTTGACTATAAAACAAACAGTCTAATCACTTTAAAGTTAAAATCGTGGAAGTGACAGTTAATAGAAATACTGGCCGCGTTTCTTTATGCAGCGCTCGAGAAGCGCTTTACAGCGAACCCTCTGAAACCCGTTTCTAAATAGCAGCGCTGCAATGTAGCGAACCGTTTCTAAACGTTTGCTGCAAGAGGTCGCTGCAGCGAAGATAAAGCAGCTTTTACGTCCGCTACACGTGCAAAGCAAAATGCACGTTGTGTGTATAATACGATATTATGCTGTAAAAATAAAAAAGTCGAAGTGACTGTTGATAAAAATATTATGGAAAGATTAAGAAGGATTAAATTTTATGAAATGACTCTGAAAGTTATCTAAAGAATAAGAAAATACTATATTTTAAATATAATTATATATCTTTTATCTCTTTACTTTGTTCACATTTATGGAAAGATAAATGCTCGATTCTTTATATCTCTTTATTTAAATATTGTAGTTCTTTAACTAAAGCACTATTTTCGGCTGTAACTGGAATTAAAGGATAGATTATGAACGTCCATGTTTCGCTCGAGCGGAAAGCGTTTCTGAACTATGATGCAGCGACGTGTAGCGATAGCTGCTCGTGACGTCATTTACGCTGCACTCTCGCTGCATAAAGAAACGCAGCCAAACTTAGGCCTACCCGCGATCGAAGTGGCAGAAATATTTATTAAACCAGAATAGTAGCATTATAGATATCCAGCGACTCTGCTAGCACGCGTGTGCGTTATATAGAGGGCTCTTTAGTCGATGTGAATACTGTATATTCGTTTAAATTATAAAAGCCATTTTCTGAATGGTTAGAGTACGTCGCGTGCGTAACATATGCTGATGCTCTCTGTCGTCATCATACGTCAGAAGATATATCAACATAATGTAAAGGACGTGTTAACGCGCATTGATTATGTGGATTCGGTCAACTGTTACCGATACAGATCGTATTTCTACCATCACATAATAAATCTAATTCTTTGTCTAAGAGCAGAGATCTTTTAATTGAATCAGATCATCACAAAATTTTCGAGTATGAACATTTGTTATTTATATAAAAGAAGTTAATTCCAAAGTAAATTCAACACTCCCATGTGGTCTAGTGGTTAGGATATCTGGCTTTCACCCAGAAGGCCCGGGTTCGATTCCCGGCATGGGAACACTTTTTATATTTTTTTTTCTTCCTTTTATTATTATTTCCTCATTCTTTAATTATTAGTCATTACTTATATATATCATGAATTAAGTTTATATATAAATACCGGACAACCGTAAAACGACGCCATCTGTCGATCGAAAAATTAATTTACAAACAAGCATATTTTTTTTAATACAAAACTTGTTTTATTTCTTCAGAAAATTTTTTTTACACATTATGTATATTTATATATATATACATTCTGTCGATATGACAACTTTATCTTTGTTCATAACTTACAGAGAATTTTACAGACATTTCCTTCTAAGGAACTTGAGGCATCAACTGTTGCAATAATGTGTTTCCGTTAACCATGTTCGTGGTGGCGATCAATAGTGTATATTCTGTTAAAGATGAATTAAATTAATTATAGTTGTTATTTCGATTAATAATAAAATGTCGAACTTACTGTTTTGTTTGGCTAACAGTCTGAGAGCTGCCACTTCTGCGTAAGTAATTCCACCCAAAAAATATATTAGAACCACTTTGTTTGTTTCATTTTCCAAACTTAGAGATCCTATGCTGGTTATACTGTCTCTACCTAAATTCATTTTTCATAATTTAATAAATATTTTAGTAATTTGACCTTGACTGGTCGTTAAATAAAACCAACAATTTTTACCACCTCTTACGGGTCTTGCTTTGTTGTTGGTTACGGTTGGTTTACCAATTGCCTTTGTTATTTCTTCCATTCCTTGAAATCCTTCTCTTGTTATTATCTTAAAATAAAATATGTTTAAGACATTTTATTAATATATAAAAAAATAATAATAATAATAACAGTTTTCTTACTTGCTGTGATAATTTACAAACAAGAGGGATGTAGGCACCGCTGAAAACATAACTCATATCTACTGGGGTTTTAAGATCTATCTCTTCATCTGTTTTTGGTATCTAAATGTGTATGGGGGAAACAGAAAATTGAAACATAAAATTAATAAAACGAAAGGAACAACAATTATGCCTAGATACTTACAAGTCCTAATTTCTTGGTAACCATTTTGAAAGAGTTGGTACGAGAGGTAACGGCAGCCACGACTTTGGCGGCTGCCATTCCTGCGGAAACTGGTCCCGAGACCGGTAATGAAACCGAAGGTTGTTCCATAAAAAGACCGAGTTTCTTTAAATAATGAAATGTCAACAAGTGTTTATGTCCGTGACTCTACAAAAGATAAATTTATGTATAGAAAAGCTGTGTGATTTCTTTTAAATATGAAATTTACATTAAAGGAAATAAATTTAACTAACATGTAGGAATTGAGTTAAAAGTGATTTGTAATCCCTCGGTGATAAACCATTCTGGGTAATAGATAGTAAGCATAGAAGTCTTAAAGATCCCAACAGAGATAACTAAAAGACAAAACAAAAACATTATCATCATTGCAGTTAATATAATTTAAACTTTAAAAATTACCTGACGATTGATTGTCTCTTCAATGTAATTCATATTTTCACGTAATTCAACACAATCTAAAAGATCTAATGATGCAACAGAATTAATCAAATCGTATTTCCCTCTTTTAATAAGTAAAAACAATACTTGCTATGTTCCACATTAAGATGATCTTTGAAATTTCCTTTGTTTTTCTGTTTCATGATAACTTCACATGCACCTATATCTACAATTAATTAATTTAATAATCAAGTTATAATTTAAATAATGGACAAAATTTTTTTTAAAGATGTCAAGATAATACTTACGAAGAGCTAAATATTTATGCTGCTGTTGAAGGCCTCTTAATTCATTCGCTACAAAATTCTATGATGCAGCGACGTGTAGCGATAGCTGCTCGTGACGTCATTTACGCTGCACTCTCGCTGCATAAAGAAACGCAGCCAAACTTAGGCCTACCCGCGATCGAAGTGGCAGAAATATTTATTAAACCAGAATAGTAGCATTATAGATATCCAGCGACTCTGCTAGCACGCGTGTGCGTTATATAGAGGGCTCTTTAGTCGATGTGAATACTGTATATTCGTTTAAATTATAAAAGCCATTTTCTGAATGGTTAGAGTACGTCGCGTGCGTAACATATGCTGATGCTCTCTGTCGTCATCATACGTCAGAAGATATATCAACATAATGTAAAGGACGTGTTAACGCGCATTGATTATGTGGATTCGGTCAACTGTTACCGATACAGATCGTATTTCTACCATCACATAATAAATCTAATTCTTTGTCTAAGAGCAGAGATCTTTTAATTGAATCAGATCATCACAAAATTTTCGAGTATGAACATTTGTTATTTATATAAAAGAAGTTAATTCCAAAGTAAATTCAACACTCCCATGTGGTCTAGTGGTTAGGATATCTGGCTTTCACCCAGAAGGCCCGGGTTCGATTCCCGGCATGGGAACACTTTTTATANATTATCAATTTACCATAGGTTTTTATGGGAATTTGATTAATTTATTCTGGAAACTCCAAAAAATAAAAAATATATACTTTCTTACTACATTTATTTATATGTAATAATAAAAATACATATATACAGTCTTGCATTTTTATTAGTCATGTTTTTTCTGTTTGTGGGGGTTAAAGAATCTGTCTAATGTTGATTGCTTTTCTCTCTTCTTCAGGATTTTTCAGAAGTAATTAATAGCATTGTAATTATAGAAATCCCCAAGCCTATTAACCTCAACCTGGTTTTGGATGCCATTCTAAGACCGTTGTTCTGACATCCTCCCACTTCTTCAAAAGGCCTTTAATAGCAGATATTGGCATTACAGTAGAGCATCGTTTATCCGAATCAATTGGGGACTGGGGTTGTTCGGATAACTTATTTTTCGGATAACCGATTATGTAGGAAAAAATATATTAACCTATCCCATGTTGAAATTTTTCTCTGTTGCGTGTTGCTTCGCATTGAATTTTTGTCGATGTTAAGCCTAACGAAAACTTTTTAAAATAACAATCGTGACTATTGTATCGTTAAAAATGATTTATTTATTTTTTACAAACAAAATAAATATATTGAAAAATATAAAAACAAAAAAAATTATACTTTCAAAGTTAATCTAGTATCAAAAACGTTCGATTCAGCATGACACAGTCCTCAGAAAAACACCACACAAAAGGCCAGTGCTGCCAGCTAAAACAGACACATCAACCAAAAAAAATATTGGAGTAGCCCAAGATATAGCCAAAGATTGCAGTGCCACAGCACTAGCAAAAATTTAAATTTTCTGACTGGAATTCTTTCAGATAACTGACGTTTCGGATAACTGACTTTCAGATAAATGACGCTCTACTGTAATCCTCTTTTTCAAAAGAAAACATATGTCACCGAGTTTCTTGGTGTTCTTCATTCAAGAGTTCTTGGTGTTCTTCTGTCATCAGATCCATTTCAGGTTCAATTATGAGCTCTTCAATTTTCTTTATTTCTCAGATGTAATTTCAGCTGCTTGAGTCTTCTTGATTATACAGTATCTTTCTTAGATAAGATTGAACTGTGGCTACTGTAGACCTGTTCAAGCCATACAGCCCAGCAAGATCCGACTTCTTCTGTCCACTCTCTACCTTTGCTATTATACTCTCACCTTTTAAAAATAAAAACCCGTGTCAAACTTAATGAGTGCCCGCTCAACAGTCTCGCGAATACTATAAAAAAATTCTTTCTGTCAGAAAAATAAAAGGCTGAAATTACAAGGGTGAGTTTCAAAGTTCGGAGGAATACTATCCAATCAGTATATACTGAGTTGAGCATTGATGTCGACATTTCCCACGCTCTGAAAAGTTTCAAATTGTTGCCAAAGACAAGACAAGGGAAGACCAATTGGTATTCATTATTTTATATCACTTCTTCTTTTGTTTGTTCTGTGAGGTGTTTGTTATCCAAACATAAAAATCTTTCGTGAAAGTGTTCATTAACTGATCACCCACTGTATTTTCCCTCCTCAGTGGGTTTTCTTCCATATAAGCAAAATAAAACAAAACAATTTTCCAAAAAACTTTTAATTTCAATATCCCAGCATTAAACCAGGTTCACATGTTAACAATTTTCAACTATATTTTTAAAACCATAGTTTTTTTGGTGTTGTTGTTCCAAAATAAAGTTATTGATTGATTGATAATTATGGAATATGTAGATGTGATAATTTCTGAAAAATTATGCTGCTTTGATTGTACATATATTGATATTGAAGATACAAAATTGAAGCATAGTATAGATTACAGACCATAGATGGGAAAGTGACAGAAGCAAATTATTTTGTAATATATGTTATTGTTTTATTGAGTTCTACTGTATATATAGATTTATTTCTTATTGCTGAAATTTTATTGTTCAGAAAAAGAAAATTTGAGAAAAAAGAGAGAAAAATAAACTGGGTTTTAAAGTTTTAAGGAAACAATAGATAAGTGTAACATAAAAGTATTCAGCTTAAATTAAATATGCTAAACATACGAGGCGTGTCCAGAAAGTAAGTACTGTTTCATTCTACCGCCATTGCAGTGGTAGTATCACAGTTCAGCACCTGCGCACACGTCTCTCTGGTTGATTGTCAGTCTAGTGACGCCATTACAGCCAGATTGTGTTGTTTTTCCACGTGTTAGTGAGTGTTCAAAATGTTTAAGACTATTGCCGATCCCGTCGACTGTGAAGTGCATTCTGTAATACAGTTTTTGAACGCAAAGAATGTTAAGCCAGTTGAAATTCATCGTCAACTTGTAGAGATTTATGGTGAAAATGTAATGAGTGATGGAATGGTTAGAAAGTGGGTTCAACAATTCAATGCTGAACGCACTGATGTTCATGACAAAGCATGGAGTGGCTGGCCTTCTGTTGTCAATGATGGTTTGGTTGCAAAAGTGAATGAAAAAATTCCTGAAAACAGACGGTTCACAATAAGATTGCTTTGTGATGAGTTTCCACAAATTTCAAATACTGTTTTGCATGAGATTGTTGCAACAACCGATGTTCAGCAGTGGCTGTCTTCACTGGCGGCATCTTTCTTTGAAGAGGGTATAGACAAGTTGGTTTCCCGATATGACAAATGTCTGAACAATGGTGGTAACTATGTAGAAAAATAGTTTCAGACATGCTCTTTCATGTAAAAATAAATTTTGTTTTGAAAAAATATTTTTTATGCGAGTTTTTCCAAAACGGTACTTACTTTCCAGACATGCCTCGTATATCATATGTTTAATTCTTATTAAATTCAAATTATGAAAAATTTATATATGTATATGTATAGTTAGTTGTATAAATTACATAAAAAATATGCAATATAAGTTTAGCATTTCCAAATTTCATTGATAAGTGTTTGAATGAAAAATAAAAATTCAATGTTTTCAAATAGGTAAACAACTTAAAAATTATTTGAAATGTTTTCAAGATAAAAAAAAAATATTATATCATCTTTTTATCAAAATTAAATAAAATTATACATACATCATACTTAGCTTGTAGAGTTTTAGCCTTATTTCCAAGATAAGAAAATACATTTGAAATGTGTTGATCCCTGATTTCTTTAAATATCTAGTAGAAAAAAAAAACACAAATAAAACAAATGATAGACAGATAATAACAGTGAATATAAAATCATTACATGGAGTTTTCTAAAAAGAATGCTACCATTTTAAATTACTGTAATTATTTTAATTATTATCTACAATGTATGCAATGTATACAATAAATAGAGTAAATATCATCATTGTGCAACATAAGTAACCTGCAATAGCTATAGAATTATGACTGCTGTGTTAGGAGTGATAATGGATATGCTGTAGTAAGTATAGGAAGAATTTCAGTATCAATTGGATGTGTGCTGTGTGACACAAAGTGCACAAGATGAGAAATTGTAACAGGCAAACTTAAAACCTGGACAGTTTTCTAATGTTTTAATGTTTATTTATTTGTTAAGTTATGGCAATGCAACACTTGGGCAATCTGCCTAGGGGGATGACTTCTGGAAGGTCTTTTACGGTTAACTGGCCCCCCATTCAGGCGTTACAGATTGGAGAAAACCAGGAAAACTCATGTGGCCAGCCTGCCCTGGTGAGGAGCGAACCACAACCTAACTCCCAGTGTTCAGGGTATGAAGATCACTTGGCCACTGGTGGCCAAGTGTAATGTTTTAATGTACATTACAACATTCTCAGATAATAATTAACATAATTACAATAATTTAAAATGGTACCATTCTTTTTGAAAGGCCCTGTATATTAGCAAATTCATTTATTTATACATAATCATACTAATTCATCAATTACTAATCTATATGACATAAATTAATTACCTCATCACTGTTATTAAGAACTACTTTTACACTTTCTTTTTTCTTTGTAACATCCTCACCAAATGTAACTTTTGCTGTGAAATAATACAATTTAATATATATAATATGTATCTATAAAAGAATTAATTATATCTTGTTGATTTTTAATCATTTTATAACTTTCTATTATTATTCTAAGAAGTAATCAATGCAAAAATATAAAGTTTTTTATGAATATAACTATCAATAAATAATTTAATCCTAATTTAATATAAAACTTTGACAACTTCAATAAATTTGTTTTATATGTTTAAAGATATATTAATGATAATTTAAACAGTATTATTGAAAATTGATTCTAAATTTGGATATTTTTTTTAACTATTAAGTAAATGCTTAATTAAAAAAAACTGTAAAGATACTTTATACATAAATATAATAAGCTTTCTATAGAAAAATAAAATTCAGAAAAATTATATTTTTAAATATCTATTATTTAATAATACATTTTACTTAGCATCTTACCACTTTTAATTCCATATGTTTCATCCAGCAAGCCTTCATAAGTTAGTTGTGTTAGTAAAACTGAAGGATAGTCAACGTCTATTGAAATGTAATCATTTTAAATATTACCAAATGTAATATCAAACTGATCAAAAATGAATCAATCATCATAATTAAAAAATTATTTTCCATTTATAACAGTAATGATAAAAAATAACTATATTTATTTACATAATAATATTTTTGTATTACAAATTTTTAAGCAAATAGTATTTGCTTACACATTTTCACTTTTTATCTTTCTGATCAAGCAAATAGCCATATTTTAATTGAGATAAAGAAATGACACATAGTTTTCGTGAAATTTTAAGATATAATTAATAATCTTCTTTATTATTGTTATTTTAAACTTATAAGTTATTTACATTCAATTATCAATACATAAGTTTATCAACACAAACTTATTCTTCTATTCTCTTTAAATAACAATTAATACCTAACTGTTTGCAAAAAAGTTCCTTGATAACTTATCAGCAACTATGCTTTCTATTCTTGGTGATTATGAACAATAATATATTCATAAATAATTACAAATGACCTCAAAGACAATAAATAATTAAACAATACATAAAAGAGCCATTAACTTAATTAATACATACTATTAAAATATTAAAAAATATTTTATGAAAATAGAATATTTTTTAAACTATTAAAATTTTACACTAAATATATACAATTATTTAAAAATATATTTTAGTTTAAACCTCTGTCAATAAGAATGGCATAATCAATCTGTGAATTTGTTGATCCTGTCTGCTTAGTTTCATTATCCAGCACCCTAAACATATCAATCACCATCTAAATAAAAAAAAAATTAATTTAATTCATTTATTCATTGAAAAAAACAAATAAATATGGTATATGTCTCATTTTAGATTTAGAAAATTCAGGGTGGTGCGTGAAAAAGTAGCCCTGGTCCAAAGCAGAAACACAGAAACCAATTGCTGGTATCACCATCATAGTTGATGTTGAACGTGGTCACCTGTCACATCTATGTGACAGGTGACCACGTTCAACTGTCACATAGATGCTCATCAGCTGCTCATGTCAAATCATGTTTAATCATGTTCAACTGTCATCAGCTGCTCATGTCAAATCATGTTTAAGAACACCCAGTGTAATATAGCGATATTCATGACAGCAACTGCATGGCTGATGATGTCTTAGTGGACTAACAAAAATACTATCATATATCTCACAGATCCAACATCAAGTCAAAGGTACTCAGCAGAATGTAACTGTTGACATTATGAAAACTATAATGGAATAAATCATCATCAATGGACATGACTGGTACAGAACATTGAGGACTATAAAAACCAGCATTAAGACTTCATCAGCACACCAAGCTCATGAAGACCAGAACACTCCAAGATAACCACATGCAGTGATAGAATAAAAAAACACTTAGAACAAACTTTTTAAATGTATTATTAGAAAGATGTTAACAAATTATATAAAAAATTCAACCCATATGCTGTAATAAACAAACTTTACTATCTAGTGTAATACTTAGATCAACAGTGAACTTATTCACCATCACACACATTTCCTCAAAAAACCCAAGATATTTACAAATAACTCATGGAAAGCAAATGGGACACAAAATGTATCCTAAAATAACTTCATAATTAACTTTAACTTTATAAATATAATAACTCATTATTTAGGAAATAAAGTCACATCAACTGCTGTATAATATCAGGCTATATTCTAGTAACAATAATTTGAATTATTGTTTAATATTATTCCTGAAACATAGTCCAATATTATAAAGCAGTTGGTGTGGCTTTATAGTAATGAATCAAGTTTTGAAAAATGTTTATACTTAAGAAATATCATCCAAACAGAAATATGCTCCAAAAGAAACAAGATATATCAAAGAAGTTTACATCTAACAAAAATTAGAAGACAGAACAAATCCTATATTAATTTGTAAGACAAATGACAAACATTATTACTTAAATATGAACATTGGCAATAAGATAACCTCAAATTAATTGCCCAATAGAAGTATGAGAAAATCATTGAGCACTTAATTAAAGCAATTCCATCACATTTGATAATTGCCTCATCAAAAGTGAGGGGATCACATTACTTGGCATTTAGTCTTGTAAGAAATGTACTGTATCTGTAATCATTCATCTAATTCTTATCTTTGACAGCCATAATTAGTTATTACTTTTACATTCCTTTCACACAAAATTCTAGTTATCCTGTTTAATTTGCACTTTGTTACAAAAACTATTAATATTCTAGTCAGATGTTTCCCAACGTGGGGCCCACGCCCCACAGGGGGTCAATTGGATTGTAAAGGGGGGCAATTTGAAAATAGACTTGTCCAGAGTTTAAGTTAACTGTATAGTTGCTGTGACTGCGATTTGAAGGAGGAGGAAGATCCTGAGCACATAATCTTCTTCTGCCCACACTACTCTACGCAACGCAAGGAGTTAATTCGTACCATCAAGGACAACGGCTTCCACTGGCCCTGTATGCTTAAGGACTTGATTTCTGACAAGAAAAACTTTTCAGCGATAAAAAGATTTGCTACAGGTATCAGGAAGCTCGACTAGTCCCACTCTGCAATCTATGATCACCCTCAACTGACCATCTAGAAGTTCATCGTCTCCTCTCTCTGTATGTGTCAACTGTGTAATCTAGAGTATATTGCTTTAATGGTTCATTCTGTAATAAATTGGATAAGCTGTTCTATATGTTCCGCGGTTTTATGTTTTACACCAAACAGCTTCATCTGTTTCCTCTGTTATTGTACTCCTGCTAACTGAAGTTAATTTGTTTAATAGCTTTGCTTGTAATCTGTTATACATGTTTACATTGTCGCGCCTTTTCATTTGTGTTGTACCCATCCGGCTCATTCTGTATTGTTTATTGTCCACACTGTATTAATTTTCTTTTAAATATAGGCGATGCAAGGCGCCAATGGGTCCCATGACCCACCTTCCCTCACTTCCCACTATCCTATCACACTTACCCCCTCCTTCTGCCCCTCCATACTCTCAACTTCTTCTACCCTATCTCCACTTCCTTCTTACCACGGGCTATACCTCCGAGTTCGGCCCTGTCTCTTTCCTAATGCTGTATATGTTAGGGGGGCATAAGAATTTTAGAAAGGCTTAGAGGGGCATAGCACAAAAAAGGTTGGGAAACACTGTTCTAGTCAGTATTTTACCATTTTATACTTTCTTGAAAAATTCTTTAGTATCTAAATGGTTAATTTCTGTAAAAATTAACCATCTCATAACATTGTGTATCTATTAACAAATTTTATATCATGATAAAAATTTTAAAGTTTTATATATTTAATAATGAATAATTTATTATATTTAAAAATTTACTTTTGCACATCTTCCAACTCCATACACATTATAAATTGGTCCACAGAATTTTTGTAATTGGATTAATGATGTTGCTGCAGTATGTAACCAAGTCTGATCCCCTTCCTAAAAAATAATATTAAAATGATTTAATTAAACTTGCACAAAATTAAGAATAGCTCCAATAAAATATTTTATTCTTTCTAGAAATATCAGAAAGTTTTTTAACTGAGTTATTTATTATATATTATTCAATAAATTAAACGGACATAGTTTAATAAATTATTTATCTATGACATTATAAGTGCTGAAAATAATAATGTACCAGAAAAAAAGATGAAAAGAAATCTGGTGTTTCAAGAGAATACAAATCAGTCTCTAAAGGAATGAAACCTAATGGATATTCTAAAAGTCTAGTAGATCCATAAACGCCTTCTTGTTCCAAAATTAATTCACATAGATGTAGCTATAAAATAAAATAAAATAAATACTTTTTAAATGAAAAATAATTACACAGTAAGTACTCAACTTACACTTTTAATTTGTTTCAAGATTTCTGTTCAAGTTAAAAAGCCATATAAGTTAAATGATATTTGTGTATGAAATATTTTTAACATATACATTTATTTCAAAGGATAGTTAAATCTAAATAGTTTTTGTTATAAAAAACTATTTAGATATAAAAAAGAATTTTTTCCCTCAAAATTTTCATCACCTGTTATATATGTCAAAATCACGCTTAATAAATGAACAGTTGTAATACTTTAATTCAAAATTAACAATACTATCTACAAATAAGCATAACCCAAATTTTCATAAGTCAAGGACTTTCTGTATTGATATATGTAAAAATATTAAATACAAATTTAATATATGAAGAAATTGGAACAACATTATATTTTTATATACAATTTCAAATATTACAAATTTTATATTGAATGTTAACTATATATTAAAGATTTTTATTTTATTCCAAAAATTTTATGGGCTTTGTAAAGAAATTATTATGCTACAATTTAATGTGTAGTAGTGAGAAAATGAGGATTTGCAAATATCAAAATCTCATTAAAATATATTTAATTTTGAGTTACTCACTTGGTATCTTTTACAAATACCAAATGAGTTAGTCATTCATTCTGTTTTTTTATTTGTTTATTATTAAATTTTTGTAATGTGAATTAATGTTTTCAATAAAACATCTCACATTGATATTATATAAGTTTAATAATCCTACTCTTATACTTGTTAAATTTTGCTTAACATTGAAGTAATATTTTTATTACATAATATGGTTAATTAATATAATTTGAGATTTTAAAAATAAACAGTTCAATCATAAGTAGGCAATAATACTTTCAATATAAAAAGTTTAAAATGTTATTTTGTGTTAGTACTACAGGTCTGATACACTTTGAGGTATATTTTATTTATAAGACAATATTATTTTAGTTATGATGTATTTTTGGAATAAATTAATAGGAGAAATATGATTGGTTGGTATTTGATATAAATTAACTTTTCAACTCAGTTCTTTTATTTTCAAAAATGCAATCATGGAGTTGTTTAGTTTCATTTTTACTTACAGTGAAAATAGGAATTATATGATTTCTCCTTGTTTATACAACTTGACAGATGTTTGTGTTGTTGCAGTAAATATTCTCAACAATTTTCCTATCATCTTGCACTATTTCAAAATTAATGATAAATTTTGGAAAGAAGAAGGAAAGTTTGATTTTATAATTGTTAACAGAAATTAGTGATGTAAATAACAATGTATACGATTCATTTGAAGACTGTGTAGAAGATATGCAAGAAATTTATGTAAAAAAGAACAAGAAGAATTTGTTAATGTTTAAAGAGAGAGCTTTCAGATCAAAATTTTTCTAAATTTATTCAAGTTAATAAAACTAATTGATATGTACTTCAAATATCATAGTACTTGTAAAATTGTTGGACTAGTGAAGAAAATATGAAGGTATAGAAAATAAAATTTACTTTTTCCACCAAAAAAGTGTTCCAGTGTGATAAGTTCTCCATAGCAATTTTGTGTTTAAATCCAAAGAACAAATAGTTAGAAGAATCGAAGCAAACAATTGCTTGGAGGTCCGGGCAGCATAACTGGCAATGCATTTGCATGGTAAGCAGGAGTTGCAGGTTCAAGTCCAGCTCCAGGCTCATTCTTTTCTTCCAGAATATTTTAAATTAATTTGTAAATATTATTATTATTAAATTTAATAAGAGATGATGCCTAACGCTTACCTCTAGTACCAAATTACTTAATAGTTAATCATTATTATAGCACTTAATTAACCTGATTAATTATGGTGAATGTTTGGTTTATTGAAAATAGTTAGAGTTTATCCATCACCTTTATATTTCCCTTTAAAGAAAAATTATATTGATACAATCAAAATTGAATTGAGAACTGCCGGTGGAAAAGAAATTGTTTTGTGGAAGAAAAACATTATTAGCCTTAAACAGATATAAATATTACATTATTTTATTTATTAATATTAGTTTACCTTTTAGAAGTGCAAAATAAAGCTCAATCCAAAAGATTGTATAAATTATTATACAATTATTATAGTTCATCCCATATTGACAACTTCTGATAATTAGGCACCTATCAAATTTTAGATTTATGGTTACCTATCGGGAAAAAATTATATTGATTTACATTCAATTTATCTATATGTTCGGCAAAAATTGTAAAGAAAAATGAATCAAATACTACTGCTGAAGAAAAAGTTACTCCCATCAATTATTTTTTAAATAGTTCGTTTTCTCAATGCACTGTTTTTCTAAATGATAAACAAGTAATTTCTCAAGTTAATTATCTTTATCAAGCAATATTGGATGCATTATTATTTTTTCAAAGGAAACACAAGAAAAGTTCTTAACAAGTATGTTATTTTTTTTAAGATACTGAGCAATATATGGATTCAATAAATCCATTAGGAGAAAATAATATTAATGAAGGATCAGTTAAAAGATTTAATATTAGTCTAGAAAGTAGATTAATAGATTTATCTGGACATTACCATATCAATTTATCACAGTGACTTTTAACCAATGTGCCACGAAAATTTTTGAAAGTTATTAAATAAATTTGGTGGTCTGAAGCCTGTGTGTCCTTACATTGTCTAACCATATAGATGAATATAAATGAACTTTGTCTAACTCCTAGAGATATTAAATAAATTATTTTCAAAAGAAACTCTCCCCCAAAAAAGAACAATAAGTGTAAATGTCAAAATTAAAAGCACTTTAAATTGATTATATGAGTTTTTCATACTTATAACAAATAAATATATCCATAATGTAGTAAAAATAAATATTCATAAACAAAATTACATGTGCATAACACCAGGTTATTTCATTTAAAACGAAATTTTCTTTAAATCAAAAATGTATCTATAATTGTCAATATTTAGTTCAAATTACTTTAATTAGAAATAGCTGGACATTGGGCAGGTTTCTTTGGCCACCCAATGTCCAGCTTTGGCAGGCCACTTTTAGATGCAAATTAATACTTAATGTTAATTGCTTTTCCTATGTAAATGAAAATTATTAATTTAAATAACTATTGTTCTAACCTGCTGCTATTTTAAAGAACAACAATACAGTTTTATTTAATTCATAAAAAATATAGACAAAAAGAATTAGATTAAGTGGCAAGTAATAGAATACAATGTTTACAAACACAACTTTAAATGATGTGATTTTTTCTGTGGAAATTTGTGCCATGGAAATTTAATTATAGGTTCAAGTGTGCCATGAGATAAAAAAAAATTGAAAAACACTGATTTAGCAAATAAATCTAAACTTTTAATCAACAACATTTATTTGATAATTAAGTTAGAAAGACTGAACAACAATTTTGCATTAATGGCAAATAATAATAATTATAAAATTATTATTAAAAACACATTATTGAAAATCAATAAAATAGATATTAGTTTATCTGTTCAAATTGGGATAGAAAAAACATTGCAAACAGGAATTATAAAAATGCTGTTTCACAGAACAGATGTTAAAGTTTTGAGTATATCAAATGCTATTATTGGCCAGTTACCTTATAAAATAACTCTTAGATTAGTTTCTAACTCAGCATTTAACAGAAATGTAAGAATAATACTTTTAATTTTAAAAATTACAATTTAAATTACATATATTTATCAAAAGACAATCAAATAATTCCTTCTAAACTGTTTACTCTAGATTATACAAATAAGATTTAGGCAAGAAATTTTTCCTTCGTATTTGAAGATACAGGATATATTCATCATCATAAATATGTCATAAATGAATATAAAGACAGTTACACTTTATATTGTTTCAATCTTATTCCAGATTGGTCTGTATCAGAATCACATATAAGCATTTATCAGCAGGGAAATATTTCAATCAAACTAAAATTTTCAGTACTGATAATGTGTTGTAATAGTAAATGTTATTTGTTTGTTAGAATATAATAACTTTAGAAACTTTAGAAATACTGAGACTTTATAGAGATTGACAATGAGCAATCCGAAAATAAAAAGAAATTTTAGAATGTTTTTGCATCTGATGATCTGTCGATTCACATTGCTAATCAACAGTCATTTATAATTAATTTAGATGAAAAAAATAAGACAGGAAGTCATTGGGGTATCAGTATTCTTTACAAAAAATAAAACAAATTAAAACAGATAAAAACAAAGATTATAAGATTTATAAAACAAATTTAAAAAAATTGTTGTTGGAATAATGTTGTTCATCAAAGTTTGTATTTGTTGACTTGCAGAAATTTTTGTTTGTATTTTCTGTAAAAAATGAATCAAAATCAATATTTAACAGAATTAAGTGCATCTGACAAATTTTATAACAATGAATTTGTAAAAAACATTTTTGTTTAGTAAACCCTCTGTAATAAATTATAATCAATATTGTAATTTAATGAAAAAATAATTTGTAATGAAGACTAATTAAATATAAAAGTTGTTTTATTTTCAAAATACATACATACACACATATATGTATGTATGTATGTATATATATAGATTTAGAAAAATGTTTAGATATACAGTTTAACCCACTTATAACATCATCCATGGGACTGGCAATTTTTTGACATTATAACAGATTGTCATTATCTGTGGGGTCATAATTTCAGTCTCATAAAAGTATCAAGTGGTTTAAGAATCTACTATAAAATCCATTCTAATTTAACATCATATGTATTACCGTAAAATTATTTCTTAATGATAATACAGTATACTGTATCTATTATGATGATAATTTATTACTATATGTATAAAAGTGCAAACTACAGTCGACCTCCCTATAACGCGGTAGATACGTTCCACGTTAATCGAATTTTACGTTGTAGGAATGATTAAATACATGAGCCAATCGCAGCCCAATAGGTGTGAAGTTTACGGACTAAGGCTGTTTGAAAGGTTTTCTTCTATAAAATTAACCGATTCTAGACTAATTCCACTCAACATTTCCAAAACACGT